TCCGTTATAGAGATGCTTGTACGGCTAAGTGGGTTTATATGTACGAAGTGTTTAGAACACTGCCTGGAATACTATATGTACTATACAGGTTGAATACCCCTAATCCAAAACTCCAAAATCCAAAATGCTCCAAAATCTGAAATTTTTTGAACACTGACATGATGCTCATTGGAACATTTTGGGTTTGGGATTTTTGGATTAGTGATACTCAACCTCTACAGGCATTTAGTTTTTTCTCCAAACATAATTGGTTCTGTCCTCAGGAATCTTCCAGTTTAGTTTAGATCAGCTTCCTTCCCTCTTGGTCACCACAGTTATATAGAAGCCAAAGAGGATCTCTGTTGCTTTCCAAAGGCCTTTGACATAGTTGCGTTGTATGCACATTTCCTTAATGCTAGGGTACTGGAGCAACAGTGCTGTTTTCCATGACTTATACTCTGGGTACCCCGAACTCTAAGGTTGGGGCATATCTTGCAAATTTTAGGTCACATTGCCACTGTTGCAATTGGGGATATGGTCACTTAACCCCATCACCTGTACTGAGGACGGGGGAATATGATTTATTAAACATCAGGGGTGGTGTTACAGAATGTGTGCTGTTTGCAGAAGAAGGGGCGGAGGGGTAATGCATGCAGCGTAGGCTGGATTGTTGATCTCCCATTTGGGGATTTTCCAAATGCACATCTGATAGTGTCACTGCCTGGCTTCACATCCTCGTGTCCGTTACTTTAGCATGAATTTCAGACCTTCTATGAAGGCCATCAAGTTTCCACCAACCTCTTCCACCCCATCTCAAATCCAGCTCTGCCTTCCTCACTGTGATCCAGCCACACTGGCTTTGGTTTGTACCTTATTCGAGCCATGCTATTTTCTACTTGAGGGTCTTTAAACATGCTATTCCCGCTGTCTGGAGCTTTTTATCTCTTCTTTCTATGTCCCTACCATACCTTTGCATAGCTCGTTAGCTTAAATATCATTTTCCCAAAGAAGAAATCCTGATTTCTCAGAGTGAGTTAGGTCTGCTTACTACTCCCATGGACCCTGGTACACAGGACTGATCACAATTCTAATAGTTATTTACTTTTATAATTATCTGTCAGTCTTCCCCAGTGGACTTTATGCTTGTGAAGGCAGGGACTGTGTTTTGTTTCCTGCATTACTAGTCAATCTCCAGTTCCTGGCATAGTGTGTGGCACATGGGAATGATTCAGTGCACATTTGTTTCATGAATGAATGCGTGAACAAATGAGAGTTTATGCACTGTCTTAGCTTGGGCTGCCGTAAAATATACCATAGACTGTGTCCTAGTTTGGTCAGTCTGTTATAACAAAATATCATAAACTGTGTGGCTTATAAACAACAAACATTTATTTCTTACCGTTTTGGAAACTAGGAAGTCCAAGATCAAGGGGCTGGCAGATTTGGTGTCTGGGGAGAGTCCACTTCCTTATTCATAGGTGGCTGTTTTCTTGCTGTGTACTGACATAGTTAAAGGGGCAAACAAGCTTTTTGGAGCCTCTTTTACTCTTTCATAAGGACACTAACCCAATACATGAGGATTCAGCTCTCATGACCTAATCACCTCCCAAAGGCCCCACCTCCTAATACCATCACTCTGGGGGTTAGGATTTCAACATACACATTTTGTGGGGACATAAACATTCAGTCCATTATAAACTGGGTGGCTTAAACAATAGAAATTTATTTCTCACAGTCCTAGAGGCTAGAAAGTCCAAGATCAAGGTGTTGGCTGATGTGGTTCCTGGTTGAGGGCCCTCTTCCTGGCTTACAGATGGCCTTCTTCTTGCTGTGTCCTTATAATGTGGAAAGAGAGAGAACCAGCTTTATGGTAGCTCTTCTTAAAAGGACACTAATCCTACCATGAGGGCCCCAGCCTCCTGACCTCATCTCAGACTGATCACCTCCCAAAGGCTCCATCTCCAGACACCATCACATTGAGGTTCAGAGCTACAACATAGGCATTTGGCAGGGGTTTGGGGGGCACAAATCCCTCCATAGCGCATGCATTATCTCCTACGATCCTTGATAACCCCATGAATTGGTTCCATTTTAGGATGAAGAAAAGGAAGCTTAGAACGTTGATCCTGCCTACGGCCACTCAGCTAGGTAGTGATAAAACTGGGAGGTTTTTGAATCTAGGAATATTCGTGTTAAAAGCAACTGAAGACCTGCTACCTCCTGAGGCCCTGAGACTTTATCCCATTTGGCTTTGAGCCATTTGGCCTGCTGGTAAATATGAAAGTGTAAGGGGAAGGCAGATGGAGCAGAGTCTATGGGGGGGAAGAGCACTGTGCAGGGCGCAGGAGAGCACCTGAACACCAAGAAGAAGATACTGAAAAGGGTGGTTCACCCCCAGGGAGGAACTGGGGGGAAGAGTTTGACAGAAAACTGGACCCTGGAAGGTCGGGGGTGGGTTTGGAATTACGATGTCAACTGTCATAAGGGAAACATTTGACTCATCTTCCCTCATCCTCTTGGCCTTGTTCCCAAGTCCCACACCCTTTTGCTGGCTCTGACAGGTTTTTAAGAACAGGGGAAAAAAAAAAAAAGAGAAAAAAAAAAAGCAGCCCCCACTTTATACCCAGGCAGTGGGAGTTACAAAGGTCTCTCTGTTAAACAGATCTTAGAAGAAGAACATTTCTCCCACATAGAAGCAGTGTTAAGATAAGGGTGAGGTTCTCACAGTCCTTTGAAGCCTAATTAACTCATGATGTTCTGGAAATAGCACTAGTAACAAAGTATCTCAGTTCAGATAACATACATTGAGCTCCTTCTCTGAAGCAGGAGCTGTGGAAGGTGCTGGAGTCTTAAGGAGCTGTGCGTGGCTTCCTCTGCCCTTGGCAAGTTGTCAGCTAAGTGATGACTTAGATACTTTGGTACATCAGCCCTTTGTCTTGGCCACTGTTTTCTGCATAAAGGTGAATTCTCAGCCACCGCACGCCAGGTGTGGGCTGTGCCCGGGACATGCTGACCTTACTTTCTCTGGTTCCCTTTCCTGTCTTCCCGTTTGCAGAGGCTGCTTGAACTAAGTGCAGCCACTGGCCTCCTGGTTCCTGCCAAGAAGGAAATGCAGGAGCTTTGCCCACCCAGTGCACTGAGTTAGAAGCATTAAATAGTCATGTGGCCGTGATAAAGCTACATAGCATCTCTGAAACTAAGGAATAAATTATATACCCTCCTTGCTTACCTCACAGGCTCTTGGGGCAATATTAAATAACATATTATGCATGTGCTTCATAAACCATGAAAGATTACATAATGTAAAAAATTATGGCGATCCTCATAGAGATGATGAGCTGGATGGGTCGCCTGTTACCACTCCATATTACTGTGTGCTGGGCCCTCGTCTAAGCACTTCACAGGTACTAAGCTGTTTAATCTGCTGAGCAGCCCAGTGGGGTAGGTACTATTATTATCCTCCTTTTACACACGAGGAACAGAGAGGTTAAGTGTCTTGTCCAGGGTCACATAGTAGGTGGCAGAGCTGAGATTCAAAGCCAGGCAGTCAGGTTCCCGAACCCATTGTTAACCACCAGACAAAACTGCCTCCTGTGTGCTCTGTTAGCACCCTCTGTATACCCCTCTGTGAGCACCTGGCAGGGAATTACAATCGCTTGCTCTAATGACAGATATGCTACTGGAAGGCAGGCACTATACCTCATTCTCACACACACACACACACACACACACACACACACACACACACACACGCCCAGTGCCTGCCACAAAGTTGGAGCTCAGTAAATATTTTTTGAATGAATAAATACCCTCTGGGGAAGTGTGTAGTAAATCTGACACACCTACCGTGTTTTCCTTCATCTTTCCTTGGTTAACCACACTCCTTTCCTTCCATCAGTTCCAATAGGACCTTGTTTGGCATCTCTCACTGTCCTCATTGATCTCCTTTGTACTCTCTCCACGCCAGCAATGACCCAGCTAAAGTGAACTGCCAGGATGTGAGCACTGGACTTGGAGAATAGTCTGGCTGCCCTTGGGTCCAGCAGAACTATCCCTTCCTCCCCCTACAGGACTCTTCTCAGGAGCCCATTCTGTCCCTGTACCATTTGTATGCCTGGGTACACTTTTGACTATGAAACCAAGTACCCAAAGTGACCTTTAGGCCCTTACTAGGTAGGTAAGCAGAATTTATTAAACTTTTCCCTTCCTTCCCTTCTTTCCCTTCTATTTCCTTCTCTTCCTCCTTTTCTTCCTTCCCTCCCTCCCTTCCTTTCTTCCTTCCTTTCCTTTGTGGGAGGAACTAGTAAGAAAGGAAACGGGATTCCTAAGGTTTGTAGGGAAGAAAACAGACTATGTTTGGTGGGCAAGTTGGGGCAGGAAACCACATCTTGTAATACGAAATCCAGAGAATTTATCAGTTTTGTTTCATAGCATGACTACAGTGAGATTTCTTGTAAGAAAAAAAAAATCAGCATCGTTGGCATCACGTATTGGACTATATTTAAGGGGATAAAGGGACATGATGTTTGAATTGGGAGATGTTTTGGGAAATCCCGTAGTATAGTGGACAAAAAGGTTCGCAAAGCCTCTGTTGGGCTCCACAAATGGGCAAAGTACAGATTCTGGTTCTCATCATAGACTTAAAAACGGGCGAAAAGCGAGATTCTGTTATTAGATAAACTGGCAGTCACACGCACGAACAATTTTCTGTTCCAACCAGGGTTTTTATTTTCAGTTGTTTGTTTTGGTTAGAGACGACTTTGGGGGAACGGTATGTCCCACTGGACACTCCGAGCCCCGCTCTCTGCGTCGGGGTCGTGACCTCCAGTCTGCCCAGCCGCAGCCTTCGCGGTCCGAGACCCGGGAGCTGGAGGGCGGGACCGCGCCGGCGGGAGCGCGCACCCCAGGCGCGGTCGGCGGGTGGAAGCGGAGGAGGGACCGCCGCCCGGGAGCGCGCGAGGCCGCACGTGCGCGCGCCCGCTCGCTCCCCCAGCCCGCGCGCCCGCGCGCCCACGCGCCCACGCTCGCGCCCGCCCGCACTCCTGGGAAGTCTCGCGATGCCGTAGCCGGCTGCTCCCGCAGCGGGTGGCTCCGGCTGTTGCTGTGGTTGCCTGAGTTGCTGCTGCGGCGGCGGGCGGCGGCGGTGCTGCTGGAGGTGTCGGCCCCCGGGCGGATGTTGACATTGTGTTGTTGTAATTGCTGATGGTAATGGCGGCGGCGGCGACGGCCCGGACCCCATCCCCTCTGTAGCCGGAGCGGAGACAGCCGGGAGCGAACTCCGCGGCCTCCGAGCCGGCGGCGCAGCGACTCCCCTCAGCCTCCGCCGCCTCGCCAGCCCGGCCCCCGGCGCCGGCCCCGGAGTCAGGCCCCTCTGGGCAGGGGGAGTCGGAGGCGCAGGATGGCGGATTTCGACGAGATCTACGAGGAGGAGGAGGACGAGGAGCGGGCCCTGGAGGAGCAGCTGCTCAAGTACTCGCCGGACCCGGTGGTGGTCCGCGGCTCCGGTCACGTCACCGTGTAAGGCCCGGAGGAGGGCGAGGGCGAGGACGGGAGGTGCAGGGCCGGGATGGGCCCCGCTTGCTCCTCGGGAGCCCCCTTCCCTGGTGTCTGTCTGGTGTCGGGGGCCTTTGGGAAGAGCAGGCGACCAGGAAGTGCGAACTTGCTTTATTTTCATTTGTTCGGGTCTCCGAAGTGGGGACAGACACTGCCCTTCCTCCTCCACACACCCCTTTCGGCAGGGCCTGCAGGCCCGAGCGATGCGACGGATCCCGGCAGGGAAGGTTTTCCTTTAGGGTCCGCTCTTCGGGGCCACCCCTTCAGCTTCGGGGTGGAAGTACGTGTATTTGTGAGGAGCCTCGCTCTTGTTTTCTGGCCCAGTTACCCTGTGGTTCTCTGTGCTTTTGAGCCTAGTGACATATGGCTCAGAGGCCAGGTCTGGGCCATGCGAGACCCCGGTGACAATCGATGCTGAGATTCACTGTCGTGTGTGTGTGTGTGTGTGTGTGTGTGTGTGTGTGTGTGTGTCTCACACAGACCTACAGGTCTTCTCCCTTTTTTAATAGAGTCAATTTCTGTGGGACTAATGCAAGTTCCTGTAATTGTCTATGATAAAAACATACAGATGAACATTAATTTGAGATATGCAGATATATTTACAACTTTTTTTTTTAAATCAACACGAGGGACACACACTCTGCTCAGGTTACTGGGGGCTCCCTGTAGACTAAATCCTTCCCTGGGGCATGAACTGTAGGATGGGCTCTTGATTTGGTAAGGATTCCTGTAAGTCTGACTAGCAACATTAAAAGTCCGATATTATTCAAACAATAAGCAACGAGAGCTTTCTGAAATGTCATGACTAATAAAGGAATGTGAAGACTTGAACCAAATTATGAGCTGTCCGGAAGCAGGAAGTTTTGTAATGTTTCTCTGAGAAGTCCAGAGTTTTGTACAACTGGAAGTGTCGATACTCTTTTCATTTTAGATCTGTCGTTCAAATCCCAGATTAAACTTCCATACTTGCCAGATATCTCTGCACTTTGCAGTAGCATAAAAGGGCTGGCAAGTCCGAGTGTCTGGAACAATTTTCATTATATTTTGGTATAGGGTGAGTGGGCTGTGCTGTGAATAACTTAGTGACACAATAAGACTTCTCGTATAAGATTGTCAGCAGAATCCTTGCGTTTTTCAATACACAACATGAGCAGCATATTGTTGTTTGGATATGCTTCTGTAACGCTTTGATTTCTTTAGCACCTGTTAGTTTACATTCAGGTGACTTACCAGGGTAAAAACACCGCATCCTTGCTATCACAGCACCATGGCAAGACCATGGCATTTACCATCCCAATAGAGCTTCTAAGTGTTTGTCATCATTGGCTTCATGAAGAAACATAACCGAATATCAGATATTAAATTTTTAACACATATCACAGAACTCTTTTAGTCTCATAACCCGCCATTTCATTTTTAGTTTGCGTTTCCGTTGTTTTAAGCCTAAGGAGTATGTGGGTGCTTAAAGAAAGGATTTCCAAACTTTTTCAGTGCTCTCTACCTACCTTTCCCCCTGCTGTCCTCATGTCAAAGAAAAGCTGGCAAAATTTTGTTATTTAAAAGGATGCAGCTACAGTTGTAATGTTTACTCAGTTTAAAGAGAAGAAAATCTAAGCACTTTGTTAGGTAAACAGCAGATATAACAGGCAAAGTGCTCCGAACCAAATAGGTGATCAGTGAATTTGATTGTAGTTGGCTACTTAGAGTGGGAAAGAATTATTAGTGGTTTTCAATCATAGGTGCCCATTAGAATCACTTGGGGAGCTTTAAAAAAAAAAAAAAATACGCGTTGACCCTGCCCACTCCGGGCTAATTAAGGCCAAGAATCCAGGCATGGATAGATTTAAAAAACAACAACAACAACAACAAAACAAAACCTACAGGTGATTCTCATGTGTAGCGAGGGTTGAAAACCACTCTATTCCAGGAAATAAGAAAGGGACTGTCTGCCACTAGTCAACAGTATTCCTTTCTGTGCTGGGAGTTAATATTTCTGTGATCTTCCTCCACAAGTTCTCTTTCCTTCCAGGAGAGATTATAGCCTCTAGGTTCCAATCTGTCTCAGCCGTTTCTTAGATCGATTATCTATGCCCCTTCAGTTCAGATGGGGATAGTCATTGTCTCTACCTTTTAAGATTATTAAGGATTAAATGAGATAATAAACACAAAGAATTCATCACAGTGTGTGGTAATGTGCTCAATAAATATTAGGCTTTATTAATTATTCTCCTCAGATGCAGTTTTCCACTTTGAGAAGCATAGGTATAAAATACAGTACTAAGAAATCAGAACTGCCATTTTCAAACCTAACAATGATGCACTTCAGTCTTATTTTTCCATTTCTAGACAACTCGCATGTGCTTAAATTACTGTGTGAAGTATTTTGATGAGAATAAGGATCTTCCTGTATTAAACACTTAAGCCTGTTTTGTGGTGTTACAGGTATAGTAATACAAAACTTTCTTTTACATGACTGTCATGCAAAATTCTTAGGTATACTATGCCCGTGGGTAGCCCAGTTAACACCTGTGAAGGTTTTTGGAATGGTGCTTATGTGTTACGGTAACTGTTCAGTTTTTCCTGCCTTTAAATATAAATGGGAAGAGCTATTAAAACAGTTGTGGTAAGACTGGCTAAACTTATCACTTCCCCCTTCCTTTTTTTTTAGGCTAAGGAACTGATCAAAGTAGTCTTCCCTTACCAATTTGCTAGTAAATGATAGTGCAAACACAATCATTTGTAATCCAGATCAGCCTGGAAGGATATATAGATCTATCCATAGGTTTTTCACAGACTTAACTTTTGAGTAGGCCTTTGCAGTTGAATATTTTGGCTCTTTTTTTTCTACCTTAACATATTAAGGTATTACTCTTCATTTGAGAAATCATTCTCATGTGACATGATTGGCATATCCTTGTGAAGTGAGAAAGTAAGTTACCTTATATTTTCTAGGTTAATTTTTGTGGCATGGTCAGATTTTGGGTGACATAGCATGCAATATGCTTAATTTCCCTAAATCACGTCTGCTTTAAAGTGGTCTTTAATAACAAATATTTTTATATTAACCCCAAATCAGACTTACACTTTGTACTTCTCTCGTAATCAATATTCTTTCTTGACATTCTTCTGGCTAAGTATTAATATTTTCTTTCATTGTTAGATTTGCATGTAGCAATATGGAGAAATCTTGTACAGAAGCATATTTTGAGGAAAGTGGTATTGGAAGGAAGGGAGGGAAATGATAAATTCATATTATTGCATAATATTTATATACATGTAACTTAAAGGCTTGAGCTTACAATTCAGTTAAAAGTGGATTTCCTTTTTTTTGGTGGTGACTTCTCATATAATGAAGATGAGGAAAAAAGTGACTAATTAGGTAGCGTCATCCAGATTTGTTAATATTTTAAAATTGTGGCATTCTTTATCCCTTAGAATAAATTTGTGCAAGTTGGTTTAGGCCAGTATTTCCTACCTAATCTATCATTATAGTTGACTTTATTTGTTCCCATCTTACTTCATACCCCTCCTATATCAGAATCAAACAGCTTTGCTATAGTGTGTATAATCTTGACTTCTAATTTAAGTCCTGTCATAGAGCCAAGTTATTTTGCTGAGATTTGTTTCTAATGTTATTCTTTTCTAGTTTCACTAAATTACTGTCTCTTCATTTACTCTGTCCTGAGGTGTAATCTTTTTACCATCTCCACAAATAATTCCTCATCCTTCAACACAAGTGTTTATCAATGGCTGTGGGACACCAATCTTTGCTTGCTTTTATCTCAGATACGCTACAGAAAATTGAAGATGTAGAAATGTGAAACTCGAAAAAGCTTGGAAACTACTTTGGGGTACAATATAATTTTTGCCTAGGAGACATCACAAGAACACCTTAGTGTTTATTGACTTTTCAAATGGTAGAGTTAAAAATTCGTCTGTCTTAAAATGTGTATCTCAAGACTGCTACTGGATTTGTGGTTAGCACTTAAGACCTGAACTTGATTTATACAAATTACAGAATCCCCTCAATTAAGCAAGTTTTTAAACTTCATAATTCCTACCTCTTTCCTCCAGCCAGCATAATATGTAAGAAATATTCCATTTTTAGAGATTTAACTTTTTTTGAGATTTGTTTTTGGGATTATTGATATTTTGTCACAGGTTGTACAGTTCTTGAGAGCAGGGATTATGTTTATTGGTCTTTATTTCTCTACTATTTAATATGGTGTCTGGAATATTATAGGTCCTGAAATATTCTCTGAATAAACGAGTTAATGGCATACATCTTTAGATCTTGTCAGAATTGCAAAAGGAACCAGTTTTCTTCCCTTTCTGTACCTCCTAATGAAGGCAAACAATGTTTTATAATAGAACCCTTACCACATTGAAAAGACAAATGACTCCTTTTTTTTTTTAAATGAAATTTGGTAATTGTGAGGAAATTGTCAAATTAAGGTAGACTATTTTCACCCTAGAGGTTTTTCTTATTCCTTATAAGCTGAGAAGAAATTAATTCGATTATAGCTTTGACATGTCTTTGGTAATAGGAAAGAAAAAATGCTAAGCATTTTAATGGACCAACTTCTAAAACTTCTTAATAGATAGATTTTCTTGAAGAAGTGAGAAATATGATAATGAACTGAGGTTTCAAAGTTTTACTATATTTGAATTTGAAAATTTACATGATGTTTCAGTCCAAAGAGTTCAATGTTGAGTTTTTGCCTACCAAGAGATATGAAATTGACTAGTATTTAAAATTTTATGTGATTAGCTCAGTGGAATACAGGGACTAAATGGTGAAAAGTAAATTGTATGTATTTATGATGGTAAATAATTAATCAAATACTATTATTCTAAATAATAACATAACTTTAAATAATATTACTCTAAAGAGTACTTAATTGAAGAGATACTCTTGAATTCCAACTTGAGTTTATACTGTTAACAGGTTAAAGGCCTAGGAC